TTATTATTATTATTATTTATCATTTATTATTTTTCGTTTTGGTTTTTGTTATGAGAAAACTTTGAATCTTTGGGACTAAAGGGTTCTACTTAAAGGCTATATTGATGGCGCTCCAGCTGTGGATAGGGGGTTTCTCCCAGTCCCGTGTCAGAAACTCTAACTACAACCTCATTTAAGACCACGTGTCATTCCCTAGAGTATCATTTCTTTGTTTAACGGTCGTGTATGAGATATGACACATGAATGTGCATACAACTCAAACCAACCAAGGTTCTTATTCTCAAGCGAATGACACGTGGTCTAGAATGGAAAAACATTACGTCCGATCGAGCCAAAAAAGTATATTGGAGATTCAGAGGAGAATGAGTTTTTATATGACAAAACTAGGCCCATACCTCTCTCTCTCATATGAAGTTAAAGTTGTGCCGCAATATCGAACGGCGCGATCCCAGAATTGAACTGAACAGCGGTGAGAGACAACGCCAAAACAGCGCATGTCCGTGCCACCCATGCCACCCACTAGTGCCATCCACTAGTGTTATCCATGCCACCCATAAGTGCCACCCATGCCACCCACTAGTGACACCCATGCCACCCATCATGTGCCACCCACTAGTACCATCCATGCCACCCACTAGTGCCACCCATGCCACCCACTATAGTGCCACCCATGCCACCCACTAGTGCCACCCACTAGTGCCACCCACTAGTGCCACCCATCATGTGCCACCCACTAGCGACACCCAAATTACTAATCAAGCGTCGTAGACGGAAACATTTATTGATTAGTCAGCTGAACTATTTATCTATTAACAATATTATTACATATTTTTATATAATTTTTTAGTCATTTCTAAAATATAACAAGATTGATCTGTAGCATTATTAATATGCATCACAGATTTATTGTGTGTTCATAAATACTTTGTTAGCAGCTGGTTAAATTTTGGTTAGAAGAAGTTAGTAGGTCTTCTGGGATACGTTTTGCGATACCTGACTAGAATCTGCAACACAAAGGTGCAGCATATGGTTAATGATCAGTGACAGTATCTAAAGTTCTGCAAGCCACTTCTTTGGTACAGCAGTTTCCTTGCGTTCGTTAACCTAGGCAACCTTCTCATCATCATCATTACCATCACCATCATCATTACCATCACCACCATCACCACCATCACCACCATCACCACCATCACCACCATCACCACCATCACCACCATCACCACCATCACCACCATCACCACCAT